TAGCCAAACAAACCCAGCACCATATGCATGAAAATACATCATAACCAAGTTGAGTTTATTCCAAGACCTCAAGATTGATTAAATGTTAGAAGATCTATTAATTTATTACATTATCCATTTGAAGAAAAAACCATATAATCATGTTAACAGATGTAGAAAAGTTATTTAATAAAATTCAGTAGTCATTCATGTTCAAACTAGGAAACAGGAATGTAAACTGATAAAACATAAATACCAAAAATCTATAAAAGCATATATATACATAATGGTGAATCCTTAGAAACATACCCTTAAAAACAGGAATAATAAAAGGATACTCATGGACATGGGTTCTACTCATCAAAGTGTTGGAGGTCCAGCCAATAAAGTAAGACAAAAATAAGCCACATAAGGGATAATGTTGGAAGGAAAGAAACAAAGTTGTTATCAATTATTCTGAGTTGATTATCCATATGCAAAACCTTAAGAGACTCTGAAGACAGGTTATTAATAAGAGAATTGAGCAACTTCTGCAGGGTGGAAGATCAACATACAAAAATCAATTGGTTTCTTAATACCAGCAGACAACTGAAAATACATTTCTAAAAAAAAAAAGCTTCATTTACAATATCAACAACAAATATGGGATACTTAGAAATCAATTTAATGAAAGATACATAAAGTACAATATTACAAAACTTTATTGAAAATGTAAAAAAAAAACCATATATGAATGCAAGGATATATTATGTTCTTCAGTGAGAAGACTCATTTTCATAAAGTCTATTGTCCCAAATTAGTCTATACATTCAATGTATACAAAAAATAAAATCCTACCCTAGTTTTTTGAGGAAGTTGATAAAGTTGTGGTAAAATTTATGTAAAGGGGCCAAGAAGAATTTGAAGTTGAAGGTGAAGAAATTTGCCTTATGAAATATAATGATCTATATATATAAAAGCCTAAGCAATTGTCCAACCATTTGACAGTCAAAAAGGTAGCTATGACATGCAATGACCATCAGGGAGCAGATGCTCTGATCAGTAGCTATGACACGGACTGACCACCAGGGGGAAGACTATCAATGCAGGAGCTGCCGAGCTGCGGTGACTTGGCAGCTGTGGTTCTCGGTTGATGCACCTGGAACCAGAGAGGAAGGAGCCCAATTCCAGGGTGCATCACCCAAGAACTGCCCTCTTGCAATCTGGGATCCCTCAGGGAAGTCAGAGAGTCGGTTTCAGCCCAATCCCTGCAGGCCAGGCCAAATGACCCCAGTAGTGCATGAATCCATGCACTGGGCCTCTAGTTTATTATAAAGTTAATTATAATTTTAAAAAATTATAATTGGTGAAGGTATTATAAATACCCAGAAACAAACCCAGACACATGGGAAACCTTATTTTGGAAAAAGCTATTACAAATCAGAAGAGAAACAATTGATGATTACTTAATAAATGGACCTGGGACCATGGTTTAAAATAAACATGCAAAAAAATATATAACTAGACCTCTTCCTCATATGTACAAAAGTAAAGTCCAGATGAATTTAAGACAAATATAAAAACAAAACGATAATGCTTTTAGGAGAAAATATAGAAAAAAAATTATATGTACTTATATGAGAGAAAGATTTCTCAGTGATAACAAAAATAGACTATAAAGAAATGTTTAAAATCAACTAGATTAAGACTGCAACTTTAAAACAGATAAACAAATAATTAGTGCCTAGACTAAATAAGGAATGTCTACAAATCAATAAGAAAACCAAACATCCCAATCCAAAATAGGCAAAGGATATGAATGACCAAATCATGGGAGAGGAAATGACCTATAAACATATAAAAAGGGGTGTGCTCAGCCTCATGAGAGTAATTAAGGAAATGAAAATTAAAACAACAAAAAAGATGAGCTATTATCTCACATCCCATCAGAGTGGGAAAAACGGAGGTCTGTCAAGACCAAATGTTGGCAAGAATGTAGAGCAATGGAAACGTGCTGCCGATGGGTGTATAAGTTGTTAAAATCATGTTAGTAGGTAGAATAATGTCCCCCCAAAGATGTCCACATCTTAATCCCCATAATTAGTGAACATGGTATGTTTTATTGCACTGAAGATGGAATTGAGGGTGTTATATATATGTTAAGGAGAAAATCCTAGATTATCCAGATGGACTTGATGTAAATCACAAGGATGCTCAAAAGTGAAGAGAGAGGCAGAAAAGAGAATCAGAGAAAGAGGTGTGATAAGGGAAGCCGGGTCAGAGAGGTGCTATGTTGATGACGTTGAAGATGGAGGAAGGGGACCCTAAGCCAAAGAATTCTGGTGGTGTCCTGAAGCTAGAAGAGCCAAGGAAACATATTCCCTCCTACATCCTCCAAAAAGGAAGCCAGCCCCTTCCAACACCTGAACTTTAGCCCGGTTAGACTCACGTCAGCCTTCTGCATTGTAGAGGTGTCTGATAATAAATTTGTGTTGTTTTGGACTACCAAATTTTTGGTAATTCCTTATGGCAGCAATAGAAACCTATTACAACCACTTTTCAAAGAAATTTTAGGAGATCTAGAAACTTTCCCAGGGACACACCCACTGCTTTGCTACCTTAGTATATGGTCTAGGGACCATCAGCATCACCTTCAAAGTTAGTAGAAATTTGGATTCTTAAGCATTACCCTCAATCGGCTGAATCAGTATCTGTGTTTTCACAAACACAGGTGATTGAGCTCCAAAGCAACCCCCAGAGCAGCCTCCCACGTATAGACAAAGAAATAGGTATAAAAATTACAGCACTATTGGTAAAAGCAATTGTTAATAATAATATATCTTTCAACCACAGAGCGTGTGAATAAATTGTTGCATACTTATGTAATGGAATATTACACAGCTGTAAGAATAAATGGAGAGCTCCTTGGAGACAAACCTTCTAAGTAAGGTCAAATGGGGAAAAGCTGTGTTGCAAAGAAATATATTCAATATGATACAATAATATAAAATTTAAAGCATGCAAAACAATACTATAAAATGCTTATTGATACATATACATGCAGTTAAAGTGGAAAAAACACTCATGAAGATGGTAAATACTAATTTCAGGATGGTGGTTGCTTCTGAGGAGAAAAACAAATGAGTGGGATGGGAAGCAATTATGCCATAAGGTTAAGTTTTGACAAAGCTGGTTGATAGGTATACCAGTGCTCCTTACAGTATTGTCTGATGACTTTGAATATTTCATAATTTGAAAGAATATACTAATTTATTAATGGAATTTATAAGATTTCTACATCAAAGTGTCGTCATCAGTTTCTAACTAAAAAAAAAAATGTTCTTATGCATTTACTTTTGGATTCTTTGATTGAAATTCAAGCTAGCTGAAAAATGACTAATCTGGAGTTTTCCCCTTCAAGGCTCCCAGGGAGTATTGTACCAAAAAGCCTTACACCAATTTCCCATCCTGAATTCCAACAACAGTCCCATTCATCATGACCTTTTGCAGAGTTGATCAGTTTGTCTACATAACTAAGCTCTATGATCCAATGTGTTCTGTATAGATTGGGCATTGCATTTAAAATTCCTGATCCTTTAAGGATAAGCTGTTACTAAAAATAAACAAAATAAAACAATATTTTTCAATGCATACATTTTTTTAAAAAAGAAAACCTGAATATTTCCAATACCTTGTACTCTATGGGCATCTGATTAAAATCTGTTTGAGACCAATTCTGTAAACCACATATGGAAAAAGCAAGACTCATTATTTTTTGTCACTCAAATACATTGTTTGATCTAGAATCAGCGTTATTAAACTTAGTCATTGACATTCTGAAAATGCTGGCCTTCTTTCCTCTATTCTCATATCTAAATGTCCTTTATATATGAACTAGAGGCCCAATGCACAAAGATTCGTGCAACAGGCCTTCCTTCCCCTGGCTGCCAGCACCGCCTTCACTCTGGCCAGGAGCCGCCTTCTGCCTTCGAGTGCTGCCCAGAGGCCCGGAGCAGCCCGGGCGGGGTGGAACGCCATCTTTGTCGCATCAATTTGCATATTCCCTCCTTATTGTCTGTGGGCACCACCATCTTTATCATGAAGTGATGGTCAATTTGCATATTCTGTCTTTATTAGATAGGATTTGTCCCCACCATTTAATAAAGGTCTAAATATGTGTAATTACTGCTTATTTGATTCTTTCTGTGCATATTTTCTGTATACAAAGCTGAATTTAAAGTAAACAGAGGCAGGAAAATTCTTGTTCAAGAAATCCATAGGAGCCAGTTCTCCCGAGACAGTTAAGAACTTGAGAGGATTTTGAGAAAAAAATCCATACCATAAAGTGATAGGCAGATGTTTCCCATATGTTGTTTGCAGATAAATCCCTGTAGTTTATACAATATTTTTTCTTGAGATTTTGCCATTTTAAATCCAGTTGTTCATACATGTCTTTGAGGCAAATCACATGTGACAAACAAGCTGACTCTAAACTTCCCTTGAAATAGTGCAGAAATTAGAGATTTGAATTTGCTTTGCTACTCTCCAAACTTCTCATAAAAATAAGGCCTAGCCTCCATATGTCGATTGTGTAAGTCATATGCCTGGTATTTATCAGGAATGTGCACACATTCCGCAGCAACTTTTTTGCTGTCCTTCAGTTCCATGTAGGTTCGTGCTTGTGACACTGCTTAATTTACATTTAAGCAACCAAATGTTCTCATCAGGAATTCTTTATCGGAACTGTTTCTTCTGAAGGGTGTGGTCTGGTTACTGTCAAAGTTTCCTCTCTCCCCATGGTGCATTACTCAGGAAAATTTTTCATTAGATATAACACTGATCACATCATAAAATATTCTCTTTTATGGATTCGGCCTAAATTGTGCTTTCACAATTTTTGGAACTAAACAGCGTAAGGTACTGTTATTTTCAGCAGAAGACTTGGGCAATAGCTCGTGCTATGTATTGCATTCCGTGCAAAGGTGATTGTATTGCTAGCAGTGTTATTTCTAGGGTTCATCCCTTTATTGTTTTCTCAACAGGCAACACCATGTTGCTGAGGGTGTTACCTGCTGTGTATGAAAAGCAGCCTCAGCCAATTAACAGACACCTGACAGAACTCCTGGCCTTGATGTCGCAGCTGGAGCAGCCAGAGCAGTACCATCTCCTGCGGCTTCTGCACGTAGCCGCGAAGAGAAAGCAACCAGAGGTAAAGAGTACAGTTAGCACTTGATGGTCCACACAACCACGCATGTTTTGGGGCATGTGAATAGGATGTGTACTTCCGGTTAACTCTCTCATAGGCCTACACATGCTCATCCACCTTTTCTAGAGTCATAATAGTCAGGAGGGTGATGGCAGAAGTTGGATACTGCCTGGGGTTACTCCGCCCTGAGAAACAAAACCAATAGGATTCATGTGTGCGTGTATTTTTTTATTTATCATGAGGAATTGGCTTATGCCGTTATTGAAGCTGAGGAGTCCCACACTCTGTCATCTGCAAGCAGAGGATCCGGGAAAGCTAGTGATGTAGGTCAAGTGTAAGTCTGAAGATCTTAGAAACAAGAGAACTGATGGTGTGAGTTGTAGTCTAAGTCCTAAAGCCTGAGAATCTATGGGATGAACCCATGTCACCCCAATAAGTTCAATTTAAATAAAAAAATAAATAGATAGATAGATAAATAAATAAATAATATGGGGCTGGCACTGGCTAGATACCTGTCCTAAAGCCATATGGGTCAGTCCAAGCTACATCGTAAACTCAGTCTAAATCTCACCAATGAGACCTTTTTATCTCAATACACTCAACAATTGAGCCTGTAAGGCTGTGGCTGGTAAAGCCTATGGTGGGTCCAGAAGCCACAGCAGAAGGTGGCAGTCAGAAAGGTGAGCTGGGCAAGAGGAGGAGAATTGAACTGAACAAGGATGAGAGGGTGGCAACAGATTCCTGCAGGCATTGTGGGTGCTGAGTGTGGATCCCAGAAGGAAGAAGCAAGGGTTTGGGAAGCATCCACAGTGGTGAGAATGGGCCCTGCCTGTGCCAGGATCCTACCTGGTGGGAAGAAGCTGTGACAGGTAACTCTCCATCACTTTGTTTCCCATCAACGCTCACCTTCATGGTAAGGCAGCCCCGCCTTGCCTCCTTCGGTCCTCAGCCCTTCAATTGCTCACCCTTGACTGCTGAAGGGCACAGGCAGTGAGCTAGAGGAGCACGTGATTCACCTCCTCTCTCTTAATTTGTCCCTTAATTAGACGGTGGGCAAAGGGAATGGGAGGAGTTCAGACAAAGGGTTTACTGAGAGAGGACAGTGAAAACGTGGCAACAATCAGAAACGAGGACTAAGGCTTTCAATGATAGTCTAGTTCAATTAATTTCAGATGAAATAGGAAGCAAAAGGAAGAGGTTGTTAACCTTGGGAAATGTGGATGAAAGAAATGCTTTTCTTTCTGCATAAAAGCTGTGCCAATGCTCTGTAACCTGGACGTAAAGTGCGTGGGTTCTCCAATGAGGGCAAAGTGCAGGAATGCCTTCCTCACTACCTACCTTCTGTGACTGGTGATAACCTGTTTTTCCAGGGATGGGGGGTCAATAGTCGGCCCTTGAGAAAACATCTTCTCTATGTGCAGCTGAGTAGTCCATGAAATTGCAAACAAGGCATAGCTTCACCATCAACCATACGTCTGTGGCTGGTGGGGCAGGTGGTGCCCTTCCTCCATCACTGCCCTCTGGGTACCCCCTTCTCAGGAAACCATCCTTCCTAGGTGAAGACAGGCGGTTCCTGGATGGTGATTCATAGCTGGAAGCTCCAGAGCATCCTCCGAGTCCACTTATAGGAAGAAGCTGGGTGATCAATGTTCCAAGTGGCTTTCTGGAGCAAAGTCTGCATTCTTGGCTCCTAAAAATTATGCTGTAGTGGAGCCAATGAGAGGGACAGAATTTAGTAGCACAGAATTTAGTGAGTATATCTGTTATTATCCCCAGGACGTGGGCTTCTAGCCCTAACAGCAGCAAGTGGCGAGTTCAGCCCTCCATTGTTTAATGTCCAGACCCAGAGGAACTCCTTTTGTGGTCTGGTCTCTAGAGAAGAGAGTCATTTTATAGGATTTTTCTCTCAGCAGTGTAGAGCATTTCTAGTTACATACCGATTCCTACAGCACCAAACACGGCATCACTAAGCTGACATGACTCAGAGGTCACTTTCAGTATTTAAAATAGATGTCAGTTGCAAAACTGACATTAAGAAGATAGTGTTAAAAGGGCATGCACACACACACACAAACACACACACACGTATACATATGTGGACACACACACAATAGCTGTACCTTTTATTCTATGCATTTAAGTTATGGTGCTATGTTTCCAGATGGCCCTACCCACAAGGTGCCCATGGCCTGGGATGAGATATGTCTACAACACTTCAGTTCAGTGACAGGATACTAAAATTGTCAGCAGACTGCTGTGGAAGCAAAAAAATCTAATCTAATAAAAGAGAAACATGCAAATTGAGTGCACCTCCACTACGCCCCAAGCCACACCCACCAGCCAATCAGAGCGACTATTTGCAAATTAACCCAAACAAGATGGCGGCTGTCACCACGGAGCTGGAGCAAGCAGGAGGCTTGGTTGCCCCAGCAATGAAAGAAGCCAAGCTTCCCGCCTGCCCTGGCCGGCTGTGGCCTCTGCTCAAGGCAACAAAGTTTCAATTACAGAAGATAAATAAATCTCAGATACCTGCTTCCAGCCAGCCTCCACTGGGAGCTTGGGTGGCTGAGGACCGTGGCCAGCCTGCAGACAGCCATCAGCCCCTCACCCAGGATGGCCACACCCTCATGGGGTGAGGATCCCTGCTGGAGGGCTTGGCCAGCCTGCAAACAGCCATCAGCCCCTCACCCAGACTGGCCAGGCACCCCAGCAGGACCCCCCACTCTGAAGCGGGTGTGGCCAGCCTGAAAATAGCCCTCAGCCCTTCACCCAGGCTGGCCAGGCATCCCAGGGTGCACCCCTATGCTGAAGGGTCTGTGGCCAGTGTGCAAACAGCCATCAGCCCCTCACCCAGGCTACCCAGGCACCCCAGTGGTGACCCCAACCCTGAAGGGGGTGTGAAAAGCTGCAAACAGCCCTCAGCCCCTCACCCATGCTGGCCAGGCACCCAAGCGGGACTCCCACTCTGATCCTGGACACCCTTCAGAGCAAACCAGCTGGGCCCCACCCGTGCTCCAGGCCTCTATTCTATATAATAAAAGTATAATGTGCAAATTGACCCTAACAGCAGAACGACTGGGAATGACTGGTCACTATGACACACACTGACCACCAGGGGGCAGATGCTCAATGCAGGAGCTGTCCCCTGGTGGTCAGTGTGCTCCCAGAGGGGGAGCTCTGCTCAGCCACAAGCCAGGCTGATGGCTACCAGTACAGCAGTGGTGGCGGGAGCCTCTCACGCCTCCTCAGCAGCACTAAGGATGTCCCACTGCAGCTTAGGCCTGCTCCTCGCTGGCAAGTGGACATCCCCCGAGGGCTCCTGGGCTGCCAGAGGGATGTCTGACTGCCAGCTTAGGCCCAATCCCCCAGGGAGCGGGCCTAAGACAGCAGGTGATCATCCCCCGAGGGGTCCCAGACTGTGCCCCCGAGTGCACAAATTTTTGTGCACTGGGCCTCTAGTCCTATATAATAAAGAGCTAATATGCTAAATAGACCGAACAGCAGAAGAATCATCCAGACAACCTTCCAGATAAAGCCAGGGCTGCGAGGGCCAAGCCCCTTGCACAAATTTCGTGCATCAGGTCTCTATTAAAAAATAAAATAAAAGGCAGTGATTAATTCTGCTCAGAAAGAAACAGAGAAGCCAGGGATAGGACCCTTCTCTGGGCAACTTGCTCTACAGGATTCTGGTCTGGACCTGGGCCCCCACCCTGTTCCCATCCACTGCCCCACCTACAAATACTGTCCAGGTAACTCACAATCCCTTCTCTGCATATCTCCATCCTGCTTCCAGGGCTTGTGCAGGCCTGTTGGCTGGGGCTGTTCTCCCAAGGACAGGCCATGTTAAGTGTGACCCCACAGGCCCGAAGGCTGTGGGCTGGAATATCCACAGACATGCATAGAAGACTCCTTGCAGGGCAAAGCCAGGGGTAGGGAGGGAAGTGAGGGGCAAGGAATGAGGGCTAGGGGTCATTTCCCCCTGCTCCTTCTACAAAGGCCACAAATTGCAAAATCCAGCCAAGCCTCCCAGATTGCTATAAAGGCATATGTGTCAGGTAGAAGGAAAGAACTTGTTTTTTTTAATAACTGCTGAATATTAGGATGTGGCCTGGGGACTTCCATTTGTACTCTAGTCCCAGGTCCTGTATGTGTTAGGATGGCCTGGAGGAAAGGCTTCCCAGAAATAGAGCTATTTGAGATTGACTTTGCAAGTATGTGTTCAAGCCACTGTGGGTAGTCAGTGGCATGCTGCTGAGTCAGAGGGTTCACTGGGGAAGAGGCAGCAGATCTCCCCATCAGTGAAGACCCTTGAATGCCATGGCACTGGGATTCCAGTCGTGGACTGTGGGAAATCTTTGAAGTCCTGACATGATCAGATGGGGTTTTAGGACAGTGACTCTGATGGCAGAGAGGAGGCTGTGCCGGGAGCCGGTCCATCCTTGCTGTTTCAAGGGACCTGGCATATATGGCATACTGTTCTTAATATGTTTGCTCACCTTCTTGGCACTATGTGTTTTAACCAAGGTCTCCTCTCTGAGAAAGGTTGTTTCCCCAGGTAGGGATTTTCCCCTGAAGTTAGGGAGGGAATAAAACCTCTTAACTAGTGCCAGGTGGGTAATTAATCACTTTAACTACGAACAATCATGCTTAAGCTACATAATCTTTACTCCCTGGAATGGAGATAAGAAACGCCCTAACCTTTGTAATAGAGATTGATAGGATTGAATCAACTGGTATAAATACAGATGTAATAAGACAGCAAGACACAGAACTTAGAATACGGAACCGAGAGAGACAGAACCTAGGCACAGAACCTACACAGAACGTTCTCTAGAGACAGAAGAACTTCGTTGGAGAGAACATGGCAAAAGATCCTGGACAGAAACTGGCCTCAGAACCTAGAGACAGAACCTAGCGAGAGAGCATGGCAAAAGATCCTGGACTGAACCTGACTACAGAAATTGGCAAGAGAACCTGACTAGAACCTGGTGACTGAACCTGGCTGGAGAACCTGGATAGAACCTGGCTGGGGAACCTAGCAAGAGAACATGGACACAGAACCTGGCTGGAGATCCTAACCAGAACTTCGCTGGAGATCCAGACCAGAACTTGGCTGGAGATCCTGGCTAGAGATCCTGGCTAGGCTGCTGATCAACTGAACGCTGTCTCCATGTCATCTCTTCTTCGCCGACTCCGTCCACACCTTTGGGGACCCCTGGACCTGCTGGGGCAGGACCCCAGCAAGGCTGAACACAGGGGAGAAAGACTTCAGGCTGGGAGGCCAGTTTGGAAGCTTTCTCCCTGCTCCATGGAATGGGGCTTAAGGCCTGAACCAAGGCCACACCAGCTTGCCCTCTGCCAGCCATCCCTATTGTCTGAGTGGCCCCTCTCTCTCAGCAAAGACAAGCTTCTCTGAGACGTGAAGCAGGGCCAACGGGGCAGCACCGAAAAGACCAGACTAAAGCAATGCCCTGCATTTGGAAAATTCTTCCTTATCCAAGAATAACCCATCTGAAGCCCAAAGCACCACTTCCCCATCACATGCATGATAAACTCTGAGAAATATCTGTCTTTTCTACCACCACCATAATAAACTTTGGGTTATCAGGGAACTATAGTAAATAATCAACTTTTATCTAACTGGTAAAATTGGTATCACTTTATTCACATTGCTTGGGCATCTCTCCTCCTTGCTTCTTTTATGCATTCAATTCTGGTTAGGCCTTGAATCTTCATTTTTTTCTTTTCTTCTTTTCCTTTTTTATTTTTCTTTGCGGGGCAACAGACATTATATACTCTTGCGTGCCTTGGAGGGTATGATGGAATTAAAATGAAATTGGCATGACAGGGAGCACATGTCACAGAGACCGGGGTGTTCCAGGAATAAGACATGAAGAGCAGGGACAGGGAAATGGAACATTATAGAATAGGACAGGAAGTGTGTAAGCATTTTCCATTCCTAAAAGCCTCGAGTTAGGTGTGCTGCCATGACCCGGAGCAGCTGGCCGACACTTCTGCCATGTGTGCCAGGGATCCCTCGTGGCTTCCCCTGAAGGACATACAATCACTCCCAACGCACAGGCAGCATTTACTGAACTGTTCATCGCTCTGTGCCAGTTACCAGAAACTAGCCCAGTCCTTTCCTCCAAAGTCCTAGATAGGAATATAAACTTTAAATTTACAGGTAAGGACAATTTTACTTATCTCAAAACTGTCTTCTTTTATGTCTCTATTACTTATGCTGCATATGGCACATGACAGTATATACGTGTACACAATGTGTTCAACTAACTATTCAAGTATATGGGAGTGTGTGATTATCCGAATGTTACCCTGTACAATCATTTAGACTTGCCTTTCTTTGATGTGTTCCTGCAACTCACCCTCCTGGCCAGGCTCTATGCTAGGCACTGAGTATACCATGATGTACAAAATAGAAATGATTCTTGACCTTGTAGACCTTTCAATCCAGTCTGCAAAAACAGACATCTAGACCAGCAATGAGAAGAAAGCGTGAGAAGGACCCGCTCAGACCCATTTAGCGTATGATTGGAGCTTCAGGAGGGACACTGGACTGAGAGAAGGAACTCTGAGGAAGGCTTCTTAGGAATTCACAGCTAATCTGAGGCCTCTGAATGACTGGGAGTTACCCAGCAAAGTTGGGGCAATAAGAATTATAGGCAAAGTGAATCACATGAGTAAAATCCCAGATGCAAGAGAAAAGTTAGCAGGTCAAGAAAACTTAAAAAAAAAAATTTAAACTTTTTAAAGACATGATTGAAGTGTGTGATGTATGATGAGATCTGGATGGGGAGAGAGGAGAGTATGTGGCTGAGAAGATAAGCCTAGAAAGATGGATAGGAGTCAGTTCAGAAAAGGTCAGCTAAGCCGTCAGCCTGAGAGCAATGGCAAATCAGTGAGGTATTGTCAGCACGGGCGGGTCACCACTGTGGCCACACATGGGGAAGGGGTTGGACAGAGGAGACTGAAGGCAGAGAGAACACTTAGGATGCTGTTAGGACAACCCAAATGCAGAGTGATTGGATCAGTGGGCTCAACTTAAATGTCCCTGCTGAGAGAGGACTTCCCTGACCCCCAGCCTAAATTAGGGCCCTGGGGCAGTCTCACAGCATGGAATTTTCTCTACATGGAATGTATTACTAACTGTATTATATGCATTTCTGTTGCAATTATTTATTTTGCTAAATGTCTCCTTTCTAGGTAGTGATTTATTCCATGAAGGCCAGTTATACTTATTAGCAACTGTAACTCCAGCATCTTGCAAATAAGAAGGACTCAGTAAATATTTGTGAATGAGTGTGTGAAAGTCCACGGCAGCGTGGCTTTCGGGGTTCAAAGGCTTGGAGGAAGAGCTGACGCACAAATGACACACAAGACGAAATATTAATTTTGATACTGGAGGAAACCAGAGGAAAACTCGACCATAGTAGTCAAGTTCTCTTGAGTCTCCATTCCCAGCTGCTTTTATTAGCTAGAATACACAATTGCCTTTTAGGAATTCAAACAGACATATCAATGGTAATGTTTAGTAAACAGTAAGATTGTCAGGTTTTGGGGGAGTTTGCTTTAGGCCATTGAGTCAGCAGCAAGTAATAAAATGTAAATATTCACCCTGTGAATATCAAAAAGAAGTACTGGCTAGCCTTCTGCCAGACTCCTCACATTTATATTAATTACTGTTGATCTTGGTTTCCAGCATGAGTGAGTGGATAGATGAATGGAAATGAGAGGAGTGGACAGATCTGTAGGATACTTGGGAGATGGAATCACTAGGACTGGATGATTGAGGCTGCTGATAAGGGAAAAAGTCAGTTGCCAAGAATCAGTCTCGGATTTCCGGCTTGAGTTTCCAAGCAGATAAAGGTGTCACTTACGGAGAAAAGAGACACTTGTGGCTAAGAGGTGGGAAAAGAGGGTTTGAGGCAGGGGGCGGATTGTGGTTCAGCAGATTGAGTTGTGCAATGGATTCGGTTTTAAATCCCAGAAGCTATATTTCAAGTCTATTTTACAAAAAAAGGTAACAAACCAAAAAGGCAAACCAACAACACACAAAAGAAATAAGTATGTAGAAGGATGGATGAACAAATAGTTTTGGCTTTTATTGTTGTTTTCTGCAGGTTGTCCTTTCTAATTATCTTATTTTAGCAGACAAAATAATGTGTTAAATTGTCAGTATGCAACATGCCTGTGTATTAACATAGTGAATTTATTCCACACAAAAATTCACATTTTTCCTTAATATGAAGTATTGTATCTTTATATTCATAAAGGAATTAAAATACAGAAAGAAACATTAGGCAATTGGGAATATAGTAGAAATTATTTTATTTTTATAATTTTTATCATATTACATTTTTTAATCAAAATGGAAAACTGAAGAAAACATGGGACATCTCTTCTGCTTTCTTATTTTTATTGTTAAATGTTTCCAAACCAGACCAGCCGGTGTGGCTCAGTGGTTGAGCATTGACAGATGCACCAAGAGGTCACCGGTTTGTTTCCTTGTGAGAGCACATGCCTGGGTTGCCAGCTTAATCTCCAGTAAGGGGTGTGCAAGAGGCAGCTGATCAATGTTCTCTCTCATCCATGTTGCTATCTCTCCCTCTCTTTCTAAAAATCAATGAAAACATATTTAAATGTTTCCAAATCATATTTCTCCAATTTGAAGGCTTTGATTAAAGGATCTCTTATGTACTTTGTCTTTTAAATTAGAGCTCTCATGGTGGTTTGAAGGAAAATATAACACTTCTGATGAGGACATAACACATCAAAACTTGATTTATGAACAGCGGCATCTAAGCGCTTATAAACTTTACTCTTTAATAGAACAGCACAGGTTAAAAGAAAAAGAAACTGAAGTTTCTGTAATTTTATTGTAAATTTAAAATTCCAGACTTGGGAAATTTTTTTTTAATCTTTAATTTCTTTATTGGTTAAAGTATTACAAGTGTGTCCTCATCCCCCCCATTAACCCCCAACCTCCCCCCCCACCCCACTCATGCTCTCATCCCTCTGTTGTCCATATCCATTGGTTTGGGCAGATTTGGGAAATTTGCTTTAGTTCCAAGGGTAATAATCTCAGAATGTGCTGAGTTCAGATTTAATAAAAGAATATATATTAGATTGAATCTGATTTAATTAATTGTCCTCCTCGTTTCTCTTTGTTCCCCCTTCTCCTTTCTTTTTTGTAGGTGGTTCAGAAGTGTATTCCTTTCTTAATCGGACATTTGAAGGACTCAACCCATAGTGATGTCATCCTAAACATCCTCATAGAGATTGCAGGCTATGAACCAGTGGCCCTGAACAGTTTCCTTCCGATGCTGAGAGAGATTGGTGAGAGATTCCCCTACCTCATTGGACAGATGGCCAGAATTTATGGAGCTGTTGGGCATGTGGATGAAGTAAGTTTGGCTTTTTTTCCCCCTCTCTCTCCATTTCCTTAAATTCCATTGGCACTCAGTCCATTGAAGCTCTATGGCCTGCACATTTTTCCTGGGACTTCTGAGAGTTCCCATTTCTTTTTGAAACTTTTGCATGGACAGTGGCCTCTGTGTCAAGGCCACATTATATAGCAGGGCTACGTGGAAGGTTCAGGAAGTGAGGATTTCATTGCTGGAGTGGCACCTGAGGAAGGGAAGGGTTAAAATGGAGAGAGCAGTATGACAGATTCAAGACCACCTTATAATAACAAAACCAATCAAGGAGTTTCATCTCATTTGTGGTCACAGTTCTGCTTAACCCAGTAAGCAGAGTCAGAGACTCCCTATCTATGTATATAAAAGTCTAAGTGACTGGAATGCCTGAAGGACTAGAATGACTGGTCACTATGATGTGCACTGACCACCAGGGGGCAGATGCTCAACGCAGGAGCTGCCTCCTAGTGGTCAGTGCACCTCCACAGCCAACCTTCCATGGCTGGCCAACCTCCCCTGGTCCCTTCCCCCATCCAGCAGACCCTGGCCGGCAGCCAGAAGGAAGGCCCCAGCCCGCAGCTGGAAGGCCCCGATTGGCCCTGACTGCCAGCCAGGCCTAAGGAGCTCACCCATGCACCAATTTTATGCACCAGGCCTCTAGTTATTAATGAAAGCCCATGGCTATGCTGTCAATAGGGGCCTGGTTGCAGTATGCTTTGCGCCCTCTGGATGAGGTTACTTGGGAGAGTGAAATAAACATTCGTGGATATTAAAAGTCCTAGCCTAAATATTAGCATGATGGAATCTTTTAGCAGGGACCACAGGATGCCATCAGAGCTCATGGGGATTAGGCGACTAAGAAAGAATTTCCAGAAGTTCAAGTTCTGAAGGGTGTGTGCATGCATGTATACACACACATACATGTATGTCTGCTGATGTTATATTAGGATTTAGGATCTTTATCTTTTAAAATAAAAGCAAATATATAATTGATAGAGGGAAACTTTTACCCACTGATATATAATAGTTTCCCGTAAGATAAAAGAGATTTTTATAGCTCATCAACTCAACCCCTTGATTCTACACAGGAGAAAGTTAAAAACTGAAAAAAGCTAGGTAACTTACCCAGACCGAGCTGGCTGGTGACTCAATTGGAATTAGATCTTTGGTATTTTTTTGAGATATTTTTCAAATGTTGCGTCCAAATGGATCTTCGGTTCTGCTGAGATTTGTAGAGAGCCTGGTGAATGCTAGGCGTCCTCCTAGTGCAGGGCTCTGCCCTCTAGTTTCCCCAGAGAAGGTGGGAGAGCTGAGTTCCCAAGCAGCCGGCACATGTCAACGTGAGGGTGGATCTTGTAAAAGGATTACTTTGGTAGGGACACGCTGCTGAGTCTAATCCCTTTCTGTCCATTCTGTGGGGAATGTCTCACGCCTGCCACAATCTGTCTTCTGGTAACACTTCCCGTGCCGTCGTCACCTTTGCTGCCAGAGCTGGCTTAAGTGCCCAAGTGCTTTAAGGCCAACTTCAGCTGACAGCTGTTTGATTGGATCTGCTGATCTTGCAGATTTTTTTTCATGGACTGAAAAATGCAGCCTCTGATGTAGAAGGCCCTGGAATCTTTAGAAAGTGTACTCTTCCTGTGCTTTGATTGTGTTCTTTTTGTCACAAATATATTCATGATTCATTCAAGTGTAGTAATGCAGATTGGAAATGACTAAACTTCCCACAGAAAAGGTGATCTATATACATTTTAAAAAAACAAACCACTAGCCACATAACAATTATGTCACTGTAGTTTTTTTCTGACCTAAGGCAAACCTGAGAATGGTTTATTAGGTGATATTGTGTGACACCAGATGGGAGCAAGAAGAAGTGATCCAAATAACTTCAAGAATCAATTATTTCAGCCCTAACTGGTTTGGCTCAGTTAATAGAGTGTTGGCCTGCGGACTGAAGGGTCCCAGGTTTGATTCCAGTCAAGGGCATATACCTTGGTTGCGGGCACATCTCCAGTAGGGGGTGTGCAGGAGGCAGCTGATCAATGTTTCTCTCTCATTGATGTTTCTAACTCTCTATCCCTCTCCCTTCCTCTCTGTAAAAAAGAAACCAATAAAATATATTTTTTAAAAATCACTTATTTCAGAATTCAGAATATCAAAATATTTCTCTCTCTCTCTCTCTCTCTCTCTCTCTCTCTCTCTCTCTCTCTCCCTCTCTCTCCTTCTGTCCCCCATCGCCAATCTCTCATTCTCATGTTTGAGGGAGAAAGTATTTATTTTCCGGTGGTTCTGATTCAGCTTTCCAGTAGAGAACGATTGTAGAGCAAATAATTCCATATGTATTTGTGCGTAAGGCAGTGATGGCGAACCTATGACACACGTGTCAAAGGTGACACGCGAACTCATTTTTTTGGTTGATTTTTCTTTGTTAAATGGCATTTAAATATATAAAATAAATATCAAAAATATAAGTCTTTGTTTTACTATGGTTGTAAATATCAAAAAATTTCTATATGTGACACGGCACCAGAGTTAAGTTAGAGTTTTTCAAAATGCTGACACACCGAGCTCAAAACGTTCGCCATCACTGGTGTAAAGATTACATGGGAAACATTTTTTTTTTTTTTTTTAAATAATACAAGTTCTTGGGCCCTATAGAATACCCATTAAATCAAAATTTCCAGGAAAAGGACCCAGGACTCTGGATTTAGGGGACCCTCTACCAGAGTACTTCTGATGCAGTTGTTTGTGAATCAGTATTTTATATCCTTTGACATAAAGAATTTAAAACATTTTTCTCTTTTAAACTTAGAATCAGGCCTTGTCCATCACCCATCCTGCCCTGCTTCCATCAAGCCATGCTTATCAGCTAAAACTTTTCCAAACTACTGGAAACTATCGCAGTTTAGACTAGGTGAGGCTGAGAGTAACACAACAACTCAAGACAACAGTAGCCTAAACAAAGATACACATCTACTTCTCTTGCACATACACAAGTCTTGAATGCAGTCAGTCTGGAACTTCCTGTGGCAGGAACCCAGGGTTTTTCTGCTTTGTTGCTGTATCATCCTTGAGCACATGGCTTCCATCTCATGATCCAAGATCACTAATCACCTTTACCTATCAAGTCAGTATTTCAGCCAGCAGAAAGGGGAAAGGGGAGAAAGACTTTTCCAGACAGTTAAACAAAACCTATTGTTTATATCCCATTGACTAAATAAAACTAAGCTGCCCCTGACCATCTCTAGCTGCAAGGGAGCCTGGAACATATAGTCTGGATTCAGGAGGCCACGTGCCCAGTTAATTGAGAGAACAGGGCAGAAAGAATGATGGAGGACAACGAATGTGTATGTTGCTGATCGTCGAGTCATTTTATTTCTCTGGGTCTCTTTTCTTAAAAGTAATGGTTTATACTGGTTTAGCTCCCTCTGGCTCTGATCTTCTTTGATTCCTTTATTCCATTCCATTCCATTCCATTCCATTCCATTCCATTCCATTTAGCATCAGCCTGACAAGATAACCTATAATTGTCAGCAAGGCTCCTTTACTCGGGAATAATGCCCTTGTTATTGGTTTCTAATACCTAAATATCACCTTTAGAAAGTCCTTCTTTTAACTTTAAAGAATGCTAAAGTTCAGATGTTCCAAGAATAAATATAGTAGTCTAAGAAGCCATTAACTGTTTAATTTTAGTGAACCTATTCAACTCTTTAAAAATCTTGTGGAGCCATATTCCTAAAGACCAAAACCAATAGGCAAGATATATATGTATGTGTATTTCTACCTAGCCTCTTTCCAAAAAGAACAGGAAATTACTGAAGTACAGTGCCAGGTGGGCGTGAGGGCAGAAGTTGAGTGTGGGGTCCTGGACATCTGTGGAGAAGGAAACTGCAATAAAGAGAGAGCAGCAAGAACTTTGTCCTGAAAGGGCTCACCACTCTCTGTTTGGAGAGCTTGGTCTATGGTGAGATAAAGGGATAAGAGAATACATGAGATATGGAAATGTTTAAAGTATTAATGGTAAGACAATCATAGTGATGCTCATGGGGAGGCCGAGGGAGGCCTCAACTCAGTGGTTGTGTCTAGATTCTTGTTACCATGCAGGAAAGAATTCAAGAGTGAGACAGAGAGGTTTAGCAAAACAGCAGATTTATTAGTGACAATTAGCACTTAAGAAGGAAGTGTGGGCAAACTCAGGCAGTGAGTCACACTGAGGGGGTCTGGGTGGAGGTTTTTATCAACTATGGTCAAGGGGAGGAAATGGGGGTGGTTCCTGGTCTCCGAGGCTGGGGGAGGGGGAGAGAAGGGGAGGTTGTCAGTGCAGCTCATCTCAGTCCCTCTTCTCCGGATGATAGCATGACGATCTGGAGGGCTGAGAGGCTTTAAAACTGCCATGTATGTCAGCATGGTTGCCAGCTCTGGCTGAGACTAATTTTGTTTGTCTTAATGGTTTCTTATCCCAGGAAATTGGGAGAGTGGCAATGGAGGAGAGGTGGGAGGGGAGACAGTTGTCTGGCCACACATCATATCCACAGTGTTCTAACTTAGAAGGGGAAGGGAGAGGTAGAGCCTGAGGCCTTTGTTCCCTATGCCAGCTTTCTTGCCTCAGTAGGACCCTAGTGACCTAAGGCCCTAGAATTCTCTCTTCATCGGATCCTGGACTAATCTAAAAATTGACTTAATTTGAAAAGTTTCTCTTTGACACCAAAGTGAAAATTTCAGATGCATTTAGGGGTTCCAAGTATTACAAGTATTACATGATTTTGTTGCTAAGATTGGAGAGATGTTAGAAATGAAGAAAAGCTCATCAAATGTTGAGTATCTTGCTCCAACTTTTGAAATGCACAATCTGAGACTAATTGGCTCCTACTGTTCCATCCTCCCTTGTTGCCTGGCTTCTGGCGAACTGCACTGTTTGATCTGTAAGGGGAAGAAGGGAGTCTCCTGGGAGTTTGCAGGCCAGAGATGGTCTCAGGGGGTAGAATCAG